TTACAGAGCTGCTTCTGTTTTTCAGACACATGTTAACACGCTCTATCTGAAGTGCCCTCCTAGGGATCACTGAGGCTGGAGGCAAAGAGCCGGTGCACAGGGAGTTACTAAGCAGACATATTAAGAGTTAAAGTAACACTGAAGGAATCGATGGAAGATGGAAAGAACTAAGAGCAGGAGCACTTGAAATAGACCACAGGGATTCATCTACTCTGCAAGGTCCTGGGAGAAGCTTGTGGTACCATCTCCATCATCTGGGTGAGTGATAGATCTTTCCGGTTCGGTGGAGAAGAAAAAGATCCTTTTCTCCTTTGCTTTCTCCCCGCCCCAAGCCCTGCATCATTTCTCAAGGTTTGATGCAGAGTGGCTCAACTGCATCTCAGTCCAACACATGCCTTGACCAGGAGCCAACAATAACACACATCAGTGCTAGCTCTCGGAGTTTTGGATCAGGTATTTTCAGAAATTAAGGCCAAAAGGTACCATTGTAATCATCTAGTCTGACCTGCTACATAGTAAAGGCCATAGAATTTAACCCAGGGATCCCTGTATCAAGCCCATAACTTCTGGTTGAGCAGACACACACCCTGGATTTAGAGATGTTGAGTGATGGAGAATCCACCAAATGCCTAGGTAAATTGTTCCAATGGTTAATCCCGTTCCTTAAAAATCTGCACCTCGTTTCTAGTCTGAATTTGTCTGGCTTCGGCTTCCAGACACTGGATCTTGTTATGCTAGATTAGAGAACCGTTGACAACCAGAAATTTTTCTCCATGTAGGTACTTACAGATTGTGATAATTGCCTTCTTAACTTTCTCTTTGATAAATCTTGATCTTTCTAAATAGATTCAACTTCTTTAGCTTTTCACTCGATGGCAAGTTTTACAGGCCATCCCGAAAGTTCACCTAAATAATTGCTTCCCCCATCTGTTCAGTCATGGGATCAAAATGCCCCTATGCTATCCCTGGGCACACCTGATTTTGCTGGAAGGCATAATCTCATTTCAGTGGAATCCTATCCTCACACGTAGCTTCAGCCATGCGTCTTCTCCACACCCAGGCTCAGCCCTCTCACTTGGGACTTGACCCCTAGAGAGGAGCTGGTAAAAGGAATGAAGACCACACCCACTCAGCACACAGCAGTAGGGCTGGGCCCTTATTCTCAGCATACAAAAGCGAAGATTAGTGGCTAAACAGATTCAACAAGGGGATCTTGGAAGTATTAAATTTCTTCCTATCATCTTATGTAATCGTGATGAAACCTGGCACAAGTGGGGTAAATGTAACCATGACAGACTTCCCATAATTTCTCTCTCTTCTCAAAGATTTCCTCATCAAAGGGCATCTGCCTGTAAAAGAAAAAAAAAAAAGACAGTCTTCAGCTCCCAATAGATAGACCCTGGCTCGCAAGGGCAGCTGGTTCTGTTTAAATGAATCTTTCACCATCAATTAGAGGCTTTGACAGGGTTAGCAGCTGGGGGGTACATTTTGTCCTGACTCCTGTTTTAACAGCAAAGTGGCTGCTAATCAGTTTCAAATCTTCAGTAGATGCCAGTTCCTGGAAAGATTTAACCCTTTACCCAAGTAGCATGACCAGCAAGTCACTAGGTAGTTCGATATAAACTTTGAGGTCTAATTTGTTGTGTAATTAAGTAGGAACCTTCAAGGATTCTACTTCTACTGCCACAACCGGTTGCTTTCCCAGAAACCTTTGGTGGTAAATCTTAAGGTATCTATACTCATCACTATAGCATCCATTTACATGGGGCAAGATTGACACCCAACGACTAGTAAATTAATTTCAAGTGTCCTGTCTAGGTTTGTGGTTGCTGCAAGCGCAGACAAATCAGTTTTTCTAAAAAGGTAGTTCCCCTGTGACCTGGGCCAGCTCCCCTTTGGAAAATACAACCCCCAAGAAATCGTTCAAGCTGGTTTTACTCTTTGTTGCTAAAACAAGCTAGGATTTGCAAAGGAACTTGAGTTAGACACCTAAATCCTATTCAATTTTCGTAAGAATGGGACACCGGATTCCCTCCGGTTTCTTTAAACATCCCAGCCACAAACGAACAGCCTGGAGAGAACCTTTTAAGGTAGCAGCCTGCATCCTGGATGCCTAGCTCCTAATTTTCCAAGAAGAGCCCTACAACTGGAGACCAGCAACTCAGTTTAGTTTCCAATCCCAACTCCTTGTGACTGTTCACTTATCTCCTTGCAAACCTCTTGTAAACCAGTGCTGCCAGATGAATGGAAGAAAACTGGTCCAAGCAGGGCTCAGAGAAGACATTCAATACACAAGCATTTTTTTGGACAATCCCCCTAGTAAATAACTGACAGCCAATGAGAGTCTAGAGAGACTAAGCACTATCACTAGTTGCCAGAACAATTAACCCTCCCCTTCCAGGTCATGCCGTAATTAGCAACCCACAACCATGAATACCTGGTAAAGCCACCCAAAATATGGCTCAGTTGTTGGGTGAACATCCCTAACTAGGTTCCACTAGCTAAGAAAACACTACCATGACCTTGGCACCTCTCTGCTCAACGCTGCAAGCCAAACTCCCCATTTAAGCACTGGGACCAGTGGACAGAGCTGCTTAGGGCACGTGGCTGCAGCACCTACTCCATCAGCAGCAGTGACAAGCTCCAGCACCTCTCTTGGAAGAAGTAAGTCTTGCAGCAGGGGTTGGCAGAGAAGCAGTAACACAACGTTTTACGGTGCTCCGATGTCGCCAGCGTGTTTCTGAACTGCTTCTGGCCTAATGAGGAGAGCCACAACCGTGAGGCATCTGAGGGCAGGGAGAGTGAAAGGGGTAATAAATTAGGCATGTAAATAACGTGTAAAAACAACCAGGTACCTGATTAAAATTCTATTGGTTACACGGTTAAACATTTAACTGGGTGCAGGGGGTGCTGCAGCACTCCCACGTTTTAGGTGGGGTTCGACTGCCGGTGGCAGCCAGGACCATGGGTGGAGTTAAATTGTTAACAGAAACTGATAAGCATCAAGCTTATCGGTTAACCTTTTACAACTCAGAGATAATTCCACTAAGGTTAAGGTTAAGGAATGAGAAAGTGTAATTTACAAAAGGTAAAATGTATGGATTAAAGATGAGGTGGACTTTAAAGGGTGTTTTCTGTTTAGCTGCTCTGATTGGCTGAGTTTTTCTGCAACTCAGCCATATTCAGCCATATAACACTCAAAGAGATTTCCATTTGGTAGATCTCAAAGCGCTTTTCAACAGTCAGTATAATGATCTCCATTTTACAGATGGGGTAACTGCAGGAGAGGGCTGGGTAAAAGGGAAATGAGAGAGGCAGGGGGTGTGGAATGAACTAAAGGGATAGGGAAGGGGGTAGCTGGGGATCAAAATATAAGATACATTTGTACAAATGTATTAAATAAGCTTACCAATACACCACCTATCCCACTGTTTGTATATTACAACTCTTCCCACCACCTTTTGTCTTGCTTTTTTAAACTAAGCTCTTTGGGGCAGAGACTGATTTCCCGCGTGTTTGTACAGTGCATAGCACACCACAGGCAGCATCATAAATACATAAACAAGTGAGGTCATTAATGGGCAGATCCTTATCACCGGATTCTGTTTCCACCAGACTTGTCGAAAGAAGGCAGAGGAAATGGAAAACGTAATCCAAGAGATTTATTCCATCTGGATCTCCTGCATTTCTGTTTATAAGAGGGCAAGTTATTTGTCTGCTAATTATCCCTATATTTTCCTTTAGCAGAAACTTTACATTTTTCTGTCTCTACTAAAAGTTCAGAGAGTACAATATAGCCTTGTCATCTCAGTTGCTTTAAAGCAAAAAAATCCAAGACCCTCACTTCAAAAAAGTATCAATTAATTGACAGATGGCCACCTATTTATAGTGTCAGGAAGAAAAAAAAAAATTCCAAAGCACTCTATGGGTTTGCATACCAAAAGAAGTCTATGGAGACCAGGAATTTTTTTTTCCAAAGTATTTAATAAAGAAAACACAAGGTAGCACAAATGCTTGACAGAGCAGTGAAGAATTGATGGCTTTTTCTGTTCCAAACCATCAGCAAAAGTGGTTAAATCCCTACTAGCTGGTTGAAAAAGGAAAAACTTGGATTAAGGCCACAATCATTCACTCATTACATGTAGATTCACTTATTATACCATGAAACTGACTCAACAACAAACAGCAAAAACAGATGAATGATCCCAGTTTTGTAACAATATGCATGAAGATCAAACAAACCATAGCAAGAAAAGCTTTAGACAGGAAAGGCTATGCCACAACACATGCCCCCGTATCTAGCCCAGAACACCCATATCCACCTTGGAAATACAGCCAAGCAGTAGTCTATGTCACTTCGGTAAAATAAGTTTCTCATTGCCAAAGCAAAACATTAGTAATATGAGACCACACTTGTCAGTTACTTTTACCCAAGTACCATTAAAATGGAATATCTGTTTTTCCTGGGGGTAGAGATTTCGCAGAAAGGAAGGAAGCTGCAGAAGGAGCAGCAAAGATCATGACAAGCCAGAGGAGGGAAGCAAATTAGGACTGGTAAAAATGTCCCAACAAACTGTACAGCTTAAAAGATAACGAATGCTACCTGGGGAAGATTTTCATCTGAAGAACCCATGTGTTCTCAGTTAAATCTAATGGATTTCTTTGCTACCTTTCACAGCTTGTCTGCAGAGAATTAGCCAACGCGGTGGTAAAAGTGTCTGGTCACCATTAGAGCGTCCATCATTGCTAGTGCTGCATTAGTGATTAACCAATGCTTTACATAGCTTTTGTAAAAACCATTATAGATGCAGACTGTCAAACACCTTAGGTTCTACTGTAAGCTTTGCTAAATACTCAGTTTAGTTGCATTTCAAATCCATTTCTTTGTTGCCTTCCCTACTGTTCTACCATTCCCCAAATATGGGCTGACTGACATCACTCCCTTAGTCACAATCATCACTTCTTATCCACAGTTTGAGAAACAAAATGGTAGATACCAAGAGTTTAAAGTTGTGAGTTTATTGCATATGTAACAAAAATGAACATGACCTCCTGGGTCCAGCCTACTATACAATCACTGTTTATTCCAGCTGGTTCCATAACCACATTAAATAGAACTAGTATTTCTTTAAATACTTTGATTTAGACATAAAATGAAACTTTAGTGTACAACTTTCACAAAATAAATCTGCAATAAAAACAGTGGGAAGAATAACAAGGATAGCAGCAATACTTAAACAAGACATTACAAAATAATAAATTAAAAATACATTATAAAGTGGTCAAGGAACAAAAATTAACAAATTAAAAACAGAATCACATATACTGTGTTTCGGGACCCTGCTGTGCGACACAGCAGTGACCCTGGGCACAGAGTGTGTGGTGGCAGGGTCTTTACTTTTATGAAATCTGCTAGATTTCAAAACCACCTTCCTTGACTTGAACTAAAAATGTACAGCTGAGCAAGCTTTGATTTCACCATCTCAACCAACAAGCAGCCTTTTAAAGCAGGGCTCTGTCAAACATAATGCCCAAGTTAACTCTAACATTCATAAAGCAGTCTCATTTCTTCCCGATTTAAAACACAAGCAGAGTGGTGGTCTCCTACATCCCTGAGTGTATAGGATCGGCTGATAAGCAATATCAGGGCAAGGACTGAAAGTCTGTACCACTGGAGCAGTTTCTAAATCTGCTTTTGGAATAGGTACAAGAAAGAATTCAGAAGATGTAACTTGCACTTTCCTCAGGTCTGCTCCAAAATGTATTTGTGTACAAGGCAGATGGGTGATAGTGAAATGTGAACGGTAAACTTTTCTGTGTTATTCTTTGGGCAAGTCTGTAAACAACCAACCAGTTCAAACACTGGAAGTTGTTGCAGAGAACACGTTCCATCTTCTTCATGCTGGCAGACCACAAGGGAAAGAACATGCTTTAAAATTCTGGGTGTCAGAGGTGACAAGAACAGACTCAGTAAAAACCTCAGTCAGTCAGTCAATGATTAAGTTCCCTCCAGCACCATCTCATCTCAACTTTCTGCTTGAATTTCACAATTTCTTGGCCATGAAACCAGATGTGAAACCAGAATACTGAGTCTTAGGCAGAACCAAGCATTGTTTTAAACCCACACTTGCCTAGCTTGTTTATTTTCTCCATCCAGACAGTTTCAAGGCCTCCCTCACACATTCATGTACAGAATGATAAAATTAATGCTCCATCGTTACGGTAGTGGCACAAAATTGAAGACAACATAACGGGAGAGGTGGGAAAGCTGTTTCAAAGATTTATCGCTTAAGTAATTTAGAGGACAGTTCCCTCTCCTCACTGCTGCCAACATGGAGAAGGGACATTAGCACGGCTTTTAAATATACAAAAACATAGAATTTTACAAAACAGAAATCCTTGCCTATTTTGTGCACCCAACGAAGTGTTGATCTAAAAAGAGAGAAACTATCACATGCTAACTTGCTTGCTGACTTGCAGTTCTCCGGACTGAGAGCCCTCATCCTCACCTTGATTGGTTTTAGAGAGCCAGCTGTGCTTTTGTGTGAAGCTGGTGGGTTTATTTATTTATTTATTGTTAGCCCTTTCAGTGAAAAAAACCACAATGTGAGACAGCATATAATATTTTGGGGCAACAACCTGTTTTGGATTTTTCCTATCTGCCTATGGTATATTGCACATACAAATGCATTGAAAGGGTTAAATACATCCCATTGGCAGTGACTGATTTCATAGCCATTTTCAACAAGCCAGGACTAGTGGAATTACATTACCCAATACAAGACTGTACAGATGTGCGGCTGCAGAAAGTTGCATTTTTCCCTCTACTGCAAGTGTCACACAATTTCTCCTTCCATGCCCAATAACCCATAATGCAGAAACTGGTCCTTAAGTGCCACTAGATTCTAAAGACTCTACGTACAGCTGTCTGAACAGGTCTTTCTTACAAAATCCTGCCATGTGAGCTTCTCTAGCCAAACTGTGCAAATCTCTCAAAATTATACAATTTCATACTTGGAATGCAATTCTGATACCCCCAACATCAAATCACAAGACTTATGGTCAATGGAAAATAAAACAAAGGGGGAAGATTCCAGGATTTTGACAAGTATATAACTTTTTGTCCTATCACAGTTTAAAGCTATTATCAAATTCAATTAAAAAAGACAAAATAGAAATATTCCAGTAGACATTTTCTATGAACAATCTCTGACCCACAGCTGAATTCCAATGCACTATTCCATAAACATAACATCTGTTAAATGTTTCAGTAATGAATCTCTCTAAAAATCAGGCTTGCCAAAGAAAATCCTATACAAAGCAAGTCTGCTTTACTTATGTTTAGACATGTTTGATGGCTAACTTGCTCTTTATGAAGTCATGTTATTTTGTTAAAATACTGTCTTATCTTGGTGTGCAAACTGGAAGAAATGTTATTTGACCCAGGTACTTGATTTGCTTTCGTTTCCCATTGCACTGGGAATCCATTTTAGCAAACGAGTTAGAGTACCAACCTTGAACATTAGTTTCAGATAGTTGAAAAAAATGCCATATGTGGCACTCTGGAGTAATTTCCATCTCTATAGAACTTAAGATAAAACCTTCCAAAAGCTTTACGTAAAGTTTAGACTTTATTCACTATATAGTTATCCTTTTACCTCCCCCTCAAAAACACCTTTCACAAGGCCAATGACTTAACAGAACTTTGTTCCATTAGCTTAGCTTTTAGCAATTTCCTCATAAAATCTTTTAGAATTTCAACTCACAAGTATCTCTCAGATAAAACAGTGGCACAGAAATCACAGCTTTTTGGATTTATCTGATTTGAAAATTTTGTCTGTTTGCTTTCTCTTTACCAAGCTTCTTTGAAAAGTAGTTACATTTGGACAGACTATGGTAAGTGAATCTGCAGGAGAAATATTTTTCCCATGTGCAAAACAATTAAATTTCAACCAGGACATCCAAAAAGAAATAATATACACCACTTAAGCTGCCCTGGATTCCTTCATTTTTCTAGACGTGAGCCACTACTTTCACTGAGAGCTTCCTGCTAAGGCAGAACTTCAGTTACATGTGCATATGGAGTTTTATTTTCTGCTAGAAATTTGTTTTAACAGGTGTTTAAAACGTGCAATTCTGAATTCCAGTGCCAGTCAGATATTCAATAGCTGCTGGACTCTACAAGAGGCTCAAGCTTGCTTTAAGACAAAATAGCCAGGTACTCCTACCAGTTGCAAGTCCTCAGCAAACCAAGCTCAGATACTCAACTACAGATTGATACTCCTATAAAAAGACCACAGGTCATTGACCCTATCACAATATGTGTTACAAGTCTAGCAGAATATCTGGTGTAATCAAAGCCAAATGCTGAACTTGGCTGCATTTCATTTTATGGGGATGGAAGAAGAGGGTGGGGATTATTGTAACAAAGGGGAGAAAATGGCTGGGAACCACCACCAAAAGCCCCCTCCCCCCACCAACAAAGGAGGGGAAACAACCACATCTCTCTAAGTTGTCTAGTGTTCCAATGCTTCAGACAGCTTAGCAGGAAGTTCACAGCAAGCTTCTTCTAGCTTTTGATCTGGTGGTCCATGAGCTAGTGTCTGTTTCCTTTGGTTGCCTCTTCACTCCACAGCAAATCCACATGTCTCTTCCACAGCTGTCAGTAGCTTCTCATAAAGCTTCTCATATGACTCATAAGGCGGAATGTCAATCCGGTTAAAGCTAGCCAAGATGAAAATAACAGTATGAACATTGCTGTATATGACCCAAAACATTTCACTTACAAAAACCTAGTTAACCCATGTTTAAAGATGAACTCTATAAAATGAACCGTGGTAGAGGTGAAAATTATTAGCTGTTTCAGTGACCAAATTAAACAAGATTAGGGCTTACTTAGCACCTTTTCCTGTAGTTCATGAACCTGCACATGGGAGATGTGAACTGGGGAAAAAGGAATTTTGTTAGCATTTGAGCTTGTTTAACTTCACTGTTCAGTGTTACCCTTTACCTAGTTTTTTTTTAAAAAAATATTGCCTCTAATATGGCTACACTTTTTAAAATAAAAATTTAGCTTTCACACGTAAAATGTTTGATAATTTTTTTTTGCTTAATAATAATGTATAATTCCAATGGTGGAATAAAGTTAAAAGCTTTCAATAACAATACAAACATTTCCATGCAATATTTGACCTGAAAACACTTGCAACATGTAAAAGGCACCAGGTTACCGTGCCTCTGGCTAGCGTCCAAAGCATTTTGAAGCACTGGTTTAGTCATCGTAACACTAACTTTTTCCTCGCCTAACAGGGGGAGAAGTTACTGAATCCAAAGCGTTTCCTGTATCAAGACAATGCTACTGCTGTCTGAGGGGCTGATGGTCCAATGAAATGTCAGACAGCAGCGTGCCTAACATACAGGGCAGCACTGGCTACGTACTTTGCCCCAAGTATGAGGCATATTAGGGAGGCAGTTAAGTGGATAATTTATTGGAAGTGTTGCTTCAAAGTAAGAGTTTTCCTACATTTTGGTTCTGAATGCCAAAATACTTAGGGTACCTATTAAAATGGCTTCCTGTAAACGAGAGAGAGAGAGTTGGTCTATGCAAAAGCTAATCTCAGATTCTCTTGAAGCTCAATTCTGCAAACATATTAGTAGTGCCTTTTTTCTAATTTTATAGCTAAATGTACATGCAAGAACACCATTACTGTACTGCTGCACAAGGAATACATGGAATTACTGAATCATTGTCTTTGATTATTTCTTGTAACGTGTATCCCTTTATCTGTGAAGACTTGACAAATGGAAATAAATTAATATACTGTGCACCAACACAAGAGGCAGCAGATTTTAACAACACCTTCATCTTACCAAGTGTGGGCTTTTGGAAGGTTGTCTGTATTTGCATCTATCAAATGGATGGTAAACAGCCTGGGTCCTGCAGCGCCTGTAGAACCTTACAGACAGATATTCTAGTTAACGCACTTCAGCAACACAGTTATAATACATAATGAATTTGCCAAATACCGGGGTGGGGGGGGAGGAAGGGAATTCATTCCAATTTCAAGCAGGAATGTACTAGAGGTTAACTGCGAACACCAGTCAGTGCAGAGTTGGCCCAGGGGTTTTGGGGAAGTAGCTGGAAGTAGCTTTGTTAAGAACAAAGATATCACCCAACATGGCCCTCAGAAAACATATGGGTTTTTACTTAAATAAGAGCTTCCCCGTTTTCAAAATGGGAGAGGTGTGGGGGCAAGCAGCACTTGGGAGATGCACACAAAACATTACGTCTGCAAGGCTCCATTTATTCTCAGCCAACATGCATCTATAACGGGTCCATTCATAATGTGTTTAAGACACTGAAATTCTGTTGCCAAAAAGGCAATTTCGGGAAATACATTCAAAATCTAATAAAAAAATACTTATAGCAAAGGTTTTGAGTCAGAGTATAAAATCTTCATTTAAGAAACAGTTTAAGTTGTTCATGTGTATTCGGGGACCCAATGAGATTTGTAAATTTCATGCACTTAAATATACAGTGGTTGTATATACAATGATTTTAACTACACCGGGCCAGAAAATAGTCTTCTCAGGAGACTGGCACATACTAGTGGTGACACCAACTGAACTGCTACCTGATAACAGGAATACAGACTTGTCAGTGCATATCACTACTGGCAACCGCTAACGTGCTCATTACTGGCAGAGGTGTTGAAAAATGAGAACTTCAATTCAAGGGCAGGGTTTCAGTAATTAGATTACTAAATTCTAGGGCCACATATTGACATGCTACTATTATTGTGCAGTGAATATGGAACAACTTTTACTGCCTTCTACGACTATGCATTAACTCAGACTCCACATCAGTCACCTTGCAAAGCCTTGAAACCTTGAAGAGGGACACGTGTGGACCCAGTCACAAACTGTAACAGCCTTGCCCTTCTTTCCTCATCAAACGTTTCCACGGCTTGCCAAAACCACTTTACGATATTGCTATCTGCCATGCAGTGCTTTAGACGTGTGTTTGACTTCCAGTCATTCAGGTCTATCTTATCCAGGCCTCCTATTATTAGCTGTTACATAATTAAAAAACACTTTAAAGCAACAGGCACTGAAATGATATCTTACGTTAATATCTATTACCCCAATCTGCTTTACAAACTGTAATATACTGCACATACACAAATCATTTTACCCACAATAAAAAAGTTTTCTGGTACACAGTATATAGTAATGCTACTAAACAGCTCAAGACAGGAGGTGAATACCCTCTCCAATTGAAACGGCAAGTGGATTTTAGGTAGGCGAATGCAATTACTTAAACTGGGTTTTGGAGAAGAAACCAGAGCCAACCCCCTACTTTAATTATCACTAGTTTGTTTTTTTTTTTTTTTTTTTTTTTTTTTAACATGTAACCTGAAAAGCACAGTGAGACTCCTTACACTGTACCAGAGCTTCAGACTTAGGCAAATGAGGGTCACCTACTGAATCATACACACCACTTTTCATAGCACTTTATCTGGAGGTCTTCCATCCCACCAATGACTACAGCGAAACCCTGCTTAATTTGTGAGATCTTACCAGATAACTGCCAACTGTGCCATGGCATATATATCTATACACTATTCTGTTTATCATCTCTAATAATAGACTACAAAACAAATTCCTCATCTCTCTTCCATAAGTGAAAATGGAATGCTGAGTAGTGGGAAAAAGTCATGATAGGCCACGGTCCCAACCAGCTGGAATGGTGATAAGGAAGTGGGGATACAAGATCCAATTAATTAAAATTAATGATATCGTATATTCCAAAGGTACTCAGACTGTTTCAGGTGGTGGACCACATTTTAAAAAAAGAGTATTGTCTCATGGATCTGTCTTGTGCCATGATCTGTAGACCCCCTTCCCTCTCATTCACATTCATTTAACATTGTGATATTTTCCATATAAACTAATGCTGCCATTGCTACAAAGTTTTTAATGCATTTTTTATTTGCCTTTCAAGGCAATTTAGAAGACTGAAACAAGAAATAGCATTATGTGACTAGCTGGCATGCCACAGATTGCTAGCAAGTGCTTCCAGGACCATCAATGGTCCGCAAGCTACAAGCTGAGAACATCTGCTTTACTATTAAAGGAGCAAACCATTTGCACTGAAAGAACAAAAAACAGAAATAAATGAATGTGATATAAAGAAAAAATACTATTTTAAGTGGCTGCATTTTGAAATTCAGGTTTTAAATAACAGGCCCAGGTCTTTTCTGTATATTCTATACTTAAATTTTCTGCTTTCATTTTAAGTGCTCTAATCTTTGCTCTATGTAGCGTCAATAAATGACCTGGATTGTAAACAACTACAGAAGACAAGCTGTTCTGAGGAGGCTAACAAGCTAGACCCTCTCAATTCCCTGTTTATGCGATCTGCAATATAGAATCAGTCTTATTGCTGAAAAATCCAAAACTGTCCACCCTCCAGCATTAGCCCTTGGTAAAAATACATGTTGTCTAAACTTCTCCCATTTTAGACAGCCCTAGCCGTAATGCTAGTATCTCACGTGTACAAAAAAGCCAGAACAAACTAGCAACTGTGATTAAAAGGAGACAGCTTTCTAGTACTGTTCATTATAATTGAAAAGGGCAAAACAATTTTTACATTAATACTCTAAACATTTGCTCATGGGTCATCCTGATCACAAAATAAAGTCATTCTGAATGATTAACACGTGTACCTCAAGCTCCTTCTGGTCAAAAGGCTTTAGTAAGTGTTGAGGAATAAGTTCATTAAAACCTTTTTGTAGAGCCAGAAATTGTGCCTCAATTCCTCTCATAAATCGCCAGTTTACATACAACCTGGGGGGGGAAGCCCAAAATGGAAAGTTAGGAGCAATGTGCTGGTTAGAACAGGGCCTTTTTATATTAGCAGAGTAGAAAAGTTTGGTCAAAGACCTATTATGGTTTGGATAGACAAAAACTGTGTTTACAGAAAAAATGTTTTTGACCATTTTCCTTCCATAACTACCAGTTCCATATCAACACAAAGAAAACAAGAACTAACTTTAAAAAAACCTCTATTTATTCCTCCTAGCTCTTATGGCACATATACAAATTACACTGGTGTGTCAGGAAGGTATATAAAGATGAAAACTTCATACAAAATCAGGCCAGAAAAATCAGCCCTAACTAGCTACTGAGAATAGGTCACTGGATCTTGTTTGTATCATTCATTACATCTCCCATCAATTCAGAGCATTTGTATTCCCAGCCTAAGGGAAAGCAGCAAATTAATGTTTGAAATACCTCAAAAAAAAGTATTATTCTGTACTTAGGTGTTGCAGATTTTCTAAAAGAAAATCTTAAAGTTTTGCCCTCAACCATCAGTCTCCCTTCAAATACCTATCACCACTTTTAGGCATGTCTGCTAAGCACCAGCTCAGAAGTCTAATCCCAAAATGATTTTAGTCATGTTTTTCAATATCAGTAAGTAACAGGACAGAAGTCAACTGAAAGCAGCAATTAATTAATATGTATAATAATAAACAACTAAGGGAGAAATATGAACCTGCTCTCTACATTTGATATAGGTGCGATCTTGAATTCTCTTTGGATTTTTTCCTAAAAAGAGATGACCTAGCTCAAGCACAAATTATTGGACACCATCCAGCAATTATTGGATGAAATTCTATGTACTGTGCAATGCTGCAGATTAGACTAGATGATGGGTTCTCAATCAGGTGGTCATAACCTGCCCTTCCCATATTGCTAAATAGAAGGTGGGTCTGGTATGGAAAAGGTTTAGAACCCCTGACTAGAGAATTATACTAGTCCTCTCCCGGCCTTAAAATCCGTACCTTATAAATCCTGCAGCAAAAATGTCCCCAAATCTAAGACCCTTAGACCTATTTATCCTTCAGAATAGACTGATTTAGTGCCAGCAGAAACTACTGCCATGCAGAGAACCACAACTCAGAACAGAACTTGGTCTTTCACTCCAATGGCTTTGCAGGGGCTTAAGTGCCAAGGAGTTATTTTCTAGTAATTTGCTCTGCCTGATTGAAGGAACACTGTTTACTTGCTCAGAGAAAGGTCTTCATTCCTCCCTAGACAAAGGAGGAGTCATTATAATGGACACAAGTGGTTGTGATGGGCTGGAAATGGGAACTTTCAGGAAAGCAAAGGATTTTCCAACATGCTTTTTCTAGGAGAATCTTTTTTCCTCCGAGTCCTAAACAAAACATACACTTGTTCACTAAAAACAATTTTCAGAACTCCCTCTAAATGTGCACTCTTCGTTACTTCACTTTTCAGATCCTAAGAATTGTATAAAGAACTCATCTTCTCCAACCCCTTCCTGTTATGTCTGGGGCAGCTGGTTCTTCCTGTGATACCTGACATATTCTTTCTTGTTCTCTTCTGTAACAGGAACATTTCTGCCATTTGGTTTGAGCTCATGCTGCAGAATCCGCCCAAAAGCATTGTGTTCCACACAGAAAGTATGGTCCAACACTGGGGTGATGTCATTCTCTCTGTCAATTAAAAGGAAAAGGATAAAACTGACATTCCCCCCCCCAATCTGTTGATGCACACAGACCAGTTGTTTATTGAATACTTAAGCAAGTTAATCTGTGGAGTGAAGGGTCCATCTGCCATCTTTCATAAGCCCTACATTTACTGTTTCCTAAGTTGCCTCTCTCATATATTGCCTTGTGGGTTTCATAAGCCCAACCTATATGTTAGTTTCCCTTTTCTCTATCACATTGGCACACCCTGCTAGTAAACAGACAGTTAATTGTTATATTTAAAATATAATTAACTGATTTGTTGCCAGATTTCAACACAAAGTATGAGGAAGATCATGTAACTTTCTGAACTGCTGGTGAATTGACAATGAATTAGAACACAAAAGGAAAAGCTGCATGGATAAAAATGATTTGTCTTATGACCAATGAAACTCTGAAGGAATTTCAAATATATCTGAGTAAATCTAAGAGGATGTGACTATAAAAGATAATTTCTTATGTATGTCTAAAACAGTAGAACCAAGGGCACACTCCCTCACTGATTGTTTCCCAAGCAATCACACACAGAATTCATTAGATTTTGATATAAATAATTTCCACAACTGAATATTAGGCAACTAAGGACAAGGTTAGGATTTCCTTGAAGGATCCAGCAAGAGCGGAACGGTGTCTGTATAAGAGTTTTCCTTCACAAGTACCTTCAATTCTTGGATTGGGAAGCAGCGGCTAGGAAATTGCGTGTTTTTGCAAAATCTGCTCTACTGTGAAGGCTCTCTTTTAATGTGATATCTTACTACCCCTGAGGTCTAGTGCTCTGTCTTCAACAGTTAAGTACTTGGTAAATGAATAGTACTTACAAAATCCAAACTAAACTCTTGTGCAGTTCTGGGTCAACAGATTCCAGATCAGATAGCTGAATGGGTTTCCCCAGCAGCTGTTTGTAGAAGGGAACTGTGAAACCCCCATTGATGTAGTGTCCATGGAACACAGCTAAACCCATTATCCGACCAACAAAATGGAAATATGATAAGTGATCCTGCAGGGGACACAGAAGAAAAAGAATAAATCATTGGAAAAGCAGTCCACCGCTGACATCTTGTGGCTATATTTATGCCAGTAGCAATGACTTTGTATCCAAAGATTTGCAACCTGCTGGGAACCAGGAGGTATGTCTACACTGCTATGCAAGCCTGGGCGCACTCACGTTTGAGCCCATACTCCCTTCTGTCTACACACAACTCTCTCAGGCTCTGGTTCAGACCTAGAGTCCTAGGTTCCTGCAATATTAGAGGGTTCAAACCCTTCTGCTTTGCAGTGTAGATGCAGCCTCCTGACTGAAGTCCTAGAAGTCCACCAAAGGTATCCCACAATCCCATGGTCCAACTTCCTTTGTCCTCTCTATCCCAAGAACCGCCAGCTGACTGCAGGGAAATGGAAGCATCCGCCCCCCTCCTCCTTGCTGTAATACAGAAGCTTGGTGGGTCAGTATTTAAACCATGCATTGTTTTCTGACCAGCGAGCTGCAAACACACCATCAGAGAGCTTTCTGTGTTTGCAATGGAGACTGAACAGAAAAAGTGAGTGAGGCCAGCGAAATGAGACAGCTGCTGAAACTGGTCCCAGAGGAGGCTTTGCCTCAGGAGCAGCACAACCTGGGGCCACACTTGGAGGAGCTTTTTGATGCCCCATCCTCACCCCTAGGAACAGCCCATTCTCTCAAAGCCAGAAATTACTTCAGGAATGTCTATTATGCTCAACATGCTGGAGTAAACCACACACCTGATTGCCTCAGAAATCTCTGCCACCACTTTACCCACGGTTGATTTTTCCAACACCAAACTGGTTGGCAAAGAACCCGTAGCAGTCTGGGGTAGCCAGCCTCCAGACTGTTATAGCAACCTGCTTCTGGACCAGCATGGCTGTCCTCGTGTAGCTTTATGCTGGAGGGAGGTGTAGGTGGGGGTAGGGGAGAGGTAGGGTAAGCTGCTCACAAAGTTCCAGAAATGTAGCTTTTCTTCATGTGAAAATTCTGAACCCATTGCTGATCATCCTGTCTGCATGATGATGTGGTCCCACCAGTCTATGCTTGTGGCTCTACTCCAGAAGAGCTGATCTACGTAGGGGGCATCAGCAGCTGTACTGAATGTGCAGCATCAGCCTCTTTAAGTCTACCATGTTGTGTTCTCCTTGTTTTCTTCCTCCGCCTCCATCATAAGCTTTGTCAGGTGCCTTTGATGGGCCAGAAAACACCACTGAAATGTCCACCAGCTTCTCATGGAAGCTCTGCCTGTTTCCTGACACAGGAGTGAAAGCACAAGCAAGAGAAGCCAAAACATTGCTGGTTCTGACAGCTGGGAGCACAGAGACCAAAATGACTGCTTGGCAGGATGTGTTAGCTAGCTGTTCAAATGTCCTGTAACATGCAGGGTGGACAGTCAAGTTTCCCACATTGCACCATGGTCAAAAGGCTAAAGCTGCCACGTTTCAGGAGTCACCGGAAAGTCTGGGATATGGTTGGTGGGACTCAGGCCTGCATGGTGCACTGCAGACACCAGAGCTCTGAGTTCAAGCCTGGGGTAGAAAATTCTTAATGTACAGTTGACAATCAGTGTAGATGATCAAGCCCTGGGTTTTCTAACCCACAGTCAGCTGACGCGAGTCCCACTACCCCTGGACTTACACTGCAGTGTAGACATATCCAAAGAGTCATTATTTCACCTACTGTCATATGACCAAGCACAAAAGAGCCATTTAATGATAAGATGTCACAGACGATATCTAATGAATTAACTAGATCAACTTAATTTGGAATGGTCTCCAAACAACATCTGAAGGGTCCAAAATCGAAAAAAGAAATGCAAGAACATGAACCCAAAGAAACCCTTTAGAAATACAAGCAGAAGGGAAAATCCAAACAAATCAAATGCTCATGAAGTAGAATATTCACCCCTTCACCCCTAAATCTTATTGATAATTTCTTCTGTTGGAAGTTGGCAAATAGCTCATTTCATCCAGCTCTAGACCAGCCACATGTTGCTTATGCTTGCAGGTTTGCCTCAATTTTTAAGGAGTAGGCTTTTTCAACCTGAGGCCAAATTTCTTCCAATACATCCTCTTGCACAGTGCCATCTTAACTTGTCAACATTGGGATTTTAGTCACTGATTTAACTGCATGAGGTGTAAGTCATGCCTACACTAGGGATCCCTCCCAAAAAATCACAGCCCAGGAGGCTGTGGCTGCAAGAAAAGCCCCTGGTGGTCACATGCAGCCACAGTGGCCGCATTTGAGAAACGCTGATCTACTCTGACCTCCTGCATAACACAGCCTAGAGGTCCTCCCTGAATTAATTTCTGTTTGAACTGAGAAAATCTTTCAGAAAAACATACAATTTTTAAACCAAGACCGGAAGTGATGGAGAATCCACCACAACCCTTGTTAAGTTGTTCCAAAGGTTAACTTCCCATCTGAGTCTGTCTAACTTCAACTTCCAGACATTGGATCTTGTTATACCATTGTCTGCTAGACTGAATATCCAATCATCAAATTTTTGTTCCCCATGCAGGTACTTATAAACTGTGATTAAGTCACCCCTTAATCTTCTCTTTGTTAAACTGAACAGATTGAGCTCGAAGTTTTTCACTATAAGGCACAGCTCCCAATTCTTTAATCAGTATCCTTGGCACTTCTCAGAATTCTATCCTGTTTATTAATAAACATCCTTTTGAGTTGTTTACCCCACAACTGGACACAGTGTTCCAGTAGCGACTGTACCAGATGCCAAACACAGAGGTAATATAACCTCCCCACTCTTACTTGAGGTTCCCCTGTTTATGCATGCAAGGATCACATTAGCCCTTCTGGTCAGAGTCACACTAGAAACTAATGTTCAACTGATTATCCACCATGATCCCCAAGTCTTTTTCGCAGTCACTGCTTCCTAGAATAGAGGCCCCCGTCCTGTAAGTATGACCTACATTCTTTGTTCCTAGATATATAACTTTACATTTAAGCCATATTAAAGAGCATATTGTTTGTGCTCAGTTTACCAAGCAACCTAGATAACTCTGTATTAGTGACCTGTCCTCAGTGTTATTTACACTCCCCCAATGTGTGTGTCATCTGCAAACTATCAGTGATGATTTTATGTTTTCTTCCAGGTCACTGATAAAAAAATTAAATAGTATAGGCCAAGAACTAGTCTCGGTATACCTCACTAGAAACACCCTCTCAATGACAATCACCAGTTTATAATTATGTACTGAGACCTGTCCATGAGCCACTTTAATCCATTTAGTGTGTGTCATGTTTAATACTGTACTAGTCTAGTTTCTTAATCAAAATGTCATGTGGTACCAAATCAAATGTCTTAAAGAAGTCTAAGTTTATTACTTCAGCACTATGACCTTTATCAACCAAATTTGTAATCTCATAAAAATCTAAATTAGGTGGACAGGATCTATGTTCCATAAACCCATGGTGACTGACATTATATTACCCTCGTTTAATTCTTTATTAAATGGAGTCTCATATTGACTTCTCTGACTGAGGGCAAAATATGTGGGGCCACTCCACTCGTTGGGTAGGCATTGTTCAGGAAGGAATAGTGCTTACACTTTCCAATACTTCCCAACCCTAGTATTTAAGAGAAGCTGCACCCATGCATATGGTCTTAACGGACCAGGTGTTTAACAGTACCAAAGAAGCTCACATGACAGCACACAGCAGTGCTGACATATCATAAACCACATACTACTTCCTGGTACATCACTCTAAAACTTGCTATTGCATTAGTTCATATCCCATCACAAAGCTTTATTGTTTACCCTCTTAAGATTGGACAATTATTTACAGAAGTAGAAGTGTGGTTGAGCTCCCACTGAAGTTTAACACATATGATTATTGCCCTAATGTTAATACTTACAGGATTGATAGAAGAGTCTGGATTGATTTGCAGCATGTAAATATTGTCAGTAGAGTACTGGAAGAGTCCATAATAGGGGTTCAACATTTCATGGCACAGTAAATACAACCACTCTCTGCCAAACAAAGCAGGATTTTAGTGAAAGTTTCACTGAAATTTCAAACATTTATTATAACTCTGTCAAACAGTCCTGAATGATTTATTTTCAATTTTCTATCAGAAATCTGGTAATCTATATTGCTGAGGGTGGAGAACGATAAAGCTTCCTCTAGGAAGCCAGGAAAAGTCTGGCTCATTTACATACAGATTTTGATTTTACTTTAAAAGTATTGTCAAGGAAATTAGCATTAATAAAAAAAAGTGGGAAAACAGACTCTAGTAAGCAGTTAGGGTAATGTAATCATAACTCATACTTTTCACTCGAACTGTGGGACTGAGTGTGACCAAAGGAAAACAAGTTGCTGGGTTATTTAATCAGTGGATTGGCTGGAGCCCCCCTAACATGAGTGTTCATAATATTTCCAGATAGCTAGCTCTGCACTAACTTTTGGTGCAGAGCTAGCTAACTGGAAGGATATGAGGCACCACTGGGCAACCTTTACTATGCATTAAAGTTTTTGAGCAGTTAATGTGTATTTGGGTCATATGTTCATATAAGTGATTAAGTGATGTAGGAGCCTAAGCCCCACTGACTTTCCAGGAGCTTTAGGCTCCTAAGCCACTTGTGTGCTTTTGAACATTTTACCCATATAGCGGGGTGGCTACCCTGCTCCTAAAATAGAAGGGGCTAAAAGCAGCCCTGGAGAGGGCTGTGGCTGGCTGATTGGGGAAGCAGCCACAGCTGGGCCACGCCCCAGTCAGGCCCCAGCTGGCCTGTATGAAAAGGCTGTGAGCCAGAGGCCAAGGAGTCTCTTTCGAGGCTGGGAGAGAGCAGGACCTGGCTGCCTGCCTGACAGGGTACTGTGGGTGGTGCTGTGCTGGGGAAGGAGCAGGCTGAGCAGGGGTGCTCCAGGCTGTCAACTCCCCAGGCTGTAGGGCCTGGTCCAAGGCCGATAGAGGTACTGGGAGGCAGAGGAAGGCAACAGATCCAAACCCCCTTGCCTATGATGAGTGGCCTTTACACTGCCGTCTGCCTCAGGGTGCGGGGGCTTGGCGATGACTGGCAGTAGCCCCGACTGAGGCAAGGTGGGGATAGTGGGTTGGGGATTCCCCAAGAAGGGGAGACCCAGAGGCAGAGTGTGGGGGTATGGCCAGGGGGCAGAACCCCAGAGAAAGGGGCACCGGGGTCTGTGAGGGACACGGGGGCCAGAGTTCTGAGGATCACCGGCCTGCCGAGGGTGCTCCAGGCTGGAAAAGAGCTAATTCCCAGCAACCAGTAGGAGGTGCAGCAGGGCTGAGTCTGCGCTCCTTTACAACCCACTGGTGCCTTAATTCAGCACCCAGTCTTTAAAATTACAGATTTATATATGCATACATTTGAGAACACATACAAACATGAGTTTTGAGGAAAAGTTAAGTTTAAGGGCAATGATGTAATTGAAGGGACATCAACCTGAATTAGTCTTTTTTTTTGGGGGGGGGGGGGGGAGCAGTATTCAGTAGTTTCATGTACTACACATCTGCCCCACCAATGGGTTGTAGATTTACAATCACATTTTCGTATTTAAAAATATGTTCTTTTAATTCCTCTTGCTGTGTGACAACCATACAAAGCTGACAATTTGGAAGAAAAGTGTGATTATCCAAAGTATGCCCAACTGAAATGAGGTTTATTTCAAACCTACTTCAGTTATAGAATTTTTAGGTATTATTACTAACAATAGTAGGAAAAGTTTTCAGACTTAAGTGACAGTTTTATGTTGACAGTATTCCCTCCAAAATGATCTGCAATTCAACCCGTATTTTCCCACACTTCCAGTAACAAAAGCAAAGGAGGAATGCGGCAGCAAAACAAACATACAGTAAATATTTTGCCTAAAGGATCTCTCATTAAAGCCAACTGTATAACCAAGTGACTCACTGTAAGAAAAAGCAAGGTTTTAAAGTAATATTTAAAGGGGAAATGACTCAGAAGTACTGAAGTGCTGGAAGGAAGAGTCACAGACAGCACAGTAATAGTAAAAAAGCAGCTTCCAATTGTTAAGCATTGATGTGACATGAAAAAGGAGGGGCAAAACCAAAAAGAATAAAGCAAATAAGAAAAATTACAAGCAGAATTTTGTGGGAAGTCAGTTTTTGGATAGAATTTGGAGATGGACAGGATCTTGATGAAAGTAGCAGGGGTTATACTGTTCCACTATCTGGAACAAGAGAGTAGTCTAACTACATAATTCTGGATCCTCTGAAGTTGTCTGCAGAGATTTGGGAAAATCATAAAAAGATATGGAACAGCATCCGTCTAGACAGGAAGTGATTAAGACCTGAATAAACATTGTAGCAGAGGCATTGTCAGGGTAAAGATGAATTCTCACAGCATGTTAGTGGTGGCAACAGGTGTAGGTCACTAAGCACTTTAAAAGGCTGTTTTACAGTTAAACTAAAACATTCCAGACAAAAAGGACTAAAAAAATCAAGGTCTCACCTTGCCACTCCACCATAATCCAAGCCTTCTTCTCCTCGAAATTTCACCATCAGCCTCTTTTTCAAGTCTTTTGGCCTCATCTTCATTATCTGACGGTAGGACTCCTATATATATTACAAATAAGACAGTTCTTTCCTTTCCATGGTTATAAGTCTACTATAAAACACTAGAACCATATAGGTTGTCATTTGAGTCAAGATTTCCCCAGTATAATGAATTAGAGTATTTCATGGTTGGTGTCAATGTGAACTCCAATAACATCCCACTAGTATTAGTGTTAAATAGGAGAAGATACATGGAGTCTGATTCTATAAATTAAGATGTTTTTTCTATGTACACATGATCTTAATATTACCCATTCCCAGAATAAGAAGAGACTTCCCCAATTAAAATAAATCTTTATATGACTGAAAAGCACAAGCAATAATGTCAATCAACGATAGATGGACTGAAAATACAACTAAGGGATTTCACTAAGAAAAATTCAGATTAATTTGTTAAAAATCTAACCAAACTGTCACATTAAATTCTTGACTGCTTGTAATTTTAGATAAAGAGGGTCAAGTTTCCTGCGAAGTCTACAGAAAGAAAAAAAGGTTTCAGGAGACAAGACAAGCTGCACAAGTGTGGAAATGCCGGCACAGACTTCTCTCTGCATGGCACGTTCTGAAGATATTTTCATACCACCACAACCTTATATTCAACATTTGAACCTCAGCAGTTAACATTTTCCTCAATGTTATTCCCGTATATTTTCATACTGTGCTGCACTGCATTTAAAAAAAACTCTGTCGGTGTCGCGTTGCATGACCTACCCTCCCCACGCTCCTAAGGGAAGTGTGTGTGGGGGGGGGGGGGGGGGAGGGAAGTACTCAAAACAAGCAAGGGCTCTAATCACAAACTGAAACTCAGAGTTAAGAAGGTAATAGGATTGGTCTGCTACCCAGTCAGAAAGGTAAAAAAAAAAACCAGACAGATAATTCAATATGCTCTGAAGTGGTACTTCAGCTGCTCTTCTCTAGCCACAAATTTAAGTATGAAAAATAATCCTGCAATTTTGTAGCCCAAGCTTATGTTTTACGGCAGCTTTATCTCCTTAGCCATATCTACTTTTGTACATGCCCTAGGATGAATCAGATTCACTGTGACCAAAGAGCAATTTTGCATAAGAACTAACAGCAGCATTTGACTCTCACATCTCATCGGTGATGCACAAACCTACATACCTCAAATATTTCTTCTCTGGATACTTCAATGCGGCAGTGACCAGCTTGTGGTTGCTGAAGAGAGAGTTCATGTCTAAGGACTTTTAATTTCTGTACTAAGTCTCTTTCATATCTTTGTGCAGGCAACTCCTCACCATCTTCTAATGACCCCTCATTTGGGACTGGCAAAGGCTGGCTCGGTTCTTTTAGTTGGCATTGATGGCTTTGGAAAAAACGAAGTAAAACATTTACTCTAAAAGCAAAGCAGTAGAAAATGTGGCATAAGGCGATGGTCGTGACAATGAAAGAACTAGTTAACCCGCCTTTTCATTAATACTTAAATGAAGCGAAGTGGATTGAGCAGCATAATTACTGCAGCCCTGCTGCCTTTTATTGGAGGCTGTAACAAATCAGGATACATACAAAAACTGAGATAACTCAACTATTCCCAATTCAATGGTTCATGATAATACTATTAATTAAGAAGTTCTGAAAGAATATTATTCACCTTTGTACAACGCTTATATTGACTGCTGACTGAACAGTGATGAAAAATTTCATTGACTTCTCCAACATTGAGACCACTTTAAGAGCTAGGACATTCCATTACAAAACTGTTTGCATAAGAGCTTTATAAATTAAAACAGCTTAAGACCACATTCTCATTGCATTTTACTTGGGCTCCATGCAAGTAAAACAAACACCAAAATGAGGTAGTAAATACTGTATCTATTGTTAGGATTAAAAAAATATGCTGGTCTCAAAAAGTTACAGCATTATATCTAAATTTAACTGATTAGGGACAAAGAAAAAGCTAAGCTATTTTTAAAAGATACTTCAAACCACAGGAGCCTAAAATTAAAAGATGAATTCTCTACCGTGTGAAGTTCTTACTTCATAATGTGATGTAATCTTGGGTCTGTGAACTGTGTGGTTCTGTTATTGTGATCTACAAAATATATTCTTCCAGACACTGTACTTCTCACTTCCCAACCCGGTGGCAGAGGTCCTAGTTCATCACAATTCACACTGTTAAGGTCTCTAGAGAGAGAGGAGAAGGAAAACAGTTAGAAAGTATTGGTAATTAAAAGAAAAACAAATTACTCTGAAAATAAGATGAGTGAACTTGGAGTTCATGAAGGCGAGGGGAGATTGGCCCCCGTCTTACATGGCATTCTGTTTTATTTGTTATGCAAGAAACCCAGATATTCAAACAGGAGGGATAGATCTGAAAACCAGGAATATTATAAACACCTTGGAGTGATAGCAGAAAGCAAATTAGACATGAGTTTGCAATACAATATGGCAGCAAAGAAAGGTCAGTGTTGACAGTGTAGTTTTGGACTACACATTCAGAGGCACATCACTACAGAGCAATGAGATAATAGACCCTATTTGCAACTGCATGTGGAAAATTGCAGTCATTTCTGAACATCTTATTAACACAGAGAATGAGGAATTGGAAGGAGTTCAGAGTACAGCAATAAAAGTGATTAGGAGCCAGAGGGTTAGAACTGAAGAATAACTGAGAACTAAATACGGATACTTGGTTAAGCAATTAAATGGGGAATATTTTCAAATGGCGTAAACACCATGGAGGGATTTCTCATGGGAAGAGGACTACCAATACAAATGCATTAAAGGAAACTCCTTTAAATGCTAACAGGGGTTTCTTCCCAAAAAATACAGCATTCAGAAATGTAAGACTATGAATTACAGTGTTCAAGAACCCAGACCGTTAAAAGCTGAGGTGGCTGACTATTCCCACTATCTTTTTAAAAGTGTTAGTGATAAAAATAGGTACAAGCAGGCAAGGAGATATCACTTCTAATGAGCAAGTTTCTGATTCTAACCATATGATTAATAATTTCAGTACAACTCATTTATTTAGGGAGGCATTGTTGACAACATTTTCCTTTTCATTCTAGGTAATCTCAAATGTAATTTTTTACAAGTGCTATTGAAGACAGTACACTTACTTACAGGTAACATTTCAATTCCATTGACATGATGTATTTTACACATGCAGAATTGCAAAGGCAGAGGACTCCAGCAGCCTAAGTATAGGAAAATACTAGTAGGGGCAAAAAAGGGATGGAGTCATTGAAGACTTATTTAGACAGCAAAGTTGTTCTCATTAATAAGGAAGTGAAAAATGCACTAGACAGCTGCTATGATGCACATTTTAGTTGAGGTTCAAGATGCTGCCTGACAGATATTCTGAATGGGAATACTCCTAAATCTAGCAATACATTATGAACATAAGTCAGTGGATTGTGAGGCTATGGGGAAAGCACATTTTAAATCATCTAAACTTCCTCAGTGCAGGAAAAAGCAGGTTTTCATCAGGTTTTCTAAAAGATTTCAGTTATGGCTATGTGTTTAGATCAGCTGTACATCTGAAACAGTAGTTTAGTGATCTGATCACATCCAATTTTTAGTGTACATTTGTGCTTAATGGCAAGGACAAGTTTCTGCCCCAATTATGAAGTCTTGTCTCAGAACAGGTACAGAAAGAGAACAACCTTTGCTAAAAAATAAGGCAATGTTATCGCTAGTAAGACACTGAGACCTGTTTACTTAAACTGTTCTTGGAAGCCTGTCTCTGCACTTTGCTTCATCTATCCAGTATCTTGCATTACTCCAGTTAGTTATGTTGTCTGCACAGTGAGCATAAAGTTGCAAACTTTCATAGTTTTACTTTGCAGGCTTTGGGGCACAGACTGCCTATAGGAACATTATGGAGAAGCAAATCCCCTCAGGGAAACTAGCCAGCGATGGATGTATAGTCACAAAAGACTGGATTAGCACAGGCTAATTCTTTAAAAAGGCTTTACCAAATTAATTTTGTGCAGGATTCATATTTTCCCAGCTGAAATTTGTTGGTCTGAAATTAAGAGAATTTTAAATAGTTCTTTAAAAGTAATTTTTCAAGTCTCTAGAGTGTAGAATTGGCAAAATATTTCTGCTTCAGCTGCACAAAAGGTGAGCCATACTATAATTGAAGACATCAACCAACCATTCAGGAGTCAGAAGTTATCAGTAGTCTAAAGCCAGCAGAATTTAGCTTTTCTCAGTTGAGCACTCAAACTGCTCTCAATTTCAGAAAAATTTTAGGTCATATTCAACAAAGCAATTTGCAACTTTATTAAAAGGATGAAGTCAAATCAATGTTTTATCAGTGTGACTTCAGTAAAGGTTACATGAAGTTTTTACTTGATTTAAAAGTTGCTGGTAGTTAATTTGTAATTAATAAGCAAGTAAGTATCCTGAGGGGATTGAATTGAAGTCAATAAAGAAATCTATGATGATTCCTTATTCTGCTGTCTCTCAGAGTAGGAATCACTTCATATCAGCACTTCATGATTCAGCTGACTGCCATAAGATGAAAATAACTGACTTTGTGTAGCTATGAATACATACCTTGGTATCCTGGGGTCATGCCACGTACTAACTCCAGTCTGTGTGTGCAAAAAATAAACCTGTCCCTGTACCGTTGTCCTTTGTTCTACATAAAGGAGGGAAAATATTCCTTAATTATTCTAAATTATAAATTCTTAAAAATCTATAAGCAGTTTCTTAAAGCTATAAGCATATTCTTTTACAACATAATCAGGGAGAGAATAGAGAACTTAAGCCATCCAGTCTGATCTCTTGCACTTTGGACTCATTAGTATGTTTCACTATCCAACTGCTCTTAATATTTCTAATATCTTAAGTTCAGATCACGATGCCTTGAACTAATTCTCTTCTTTTATAATGTGTTGATTATACTACTATCTTAAAATAAACTAGATAATTGCCTTACTCCCAAATCTGGTGTTGTCCTTTTTCCTAGATAAGATTTAATTCTCCCTCTCACCTTATCCTCTGATTCTTGTTTCTTTGTTGCCTTTATATTTTCCTGTAGTTTTTCTCGCTCTTTCCTAAACTATGGGCCTCAACCCTGTACAAAATATGGTCACAGAGAAAGCAAAATAGCACTGCTACTCTAGTTTAAGAGGGTTTTAAATGCACTCTCCATGCATAAACATTCAAATTTAGCATTAGCTTTTCTGCAACAGCATCACACTACAAACTCATGTTTAGTTTACGATCAGCGCTAGGTGTCTCTTGCAGGAGCTGTTTTCTAAGCAGCCATTCTTCAGTTTATATCTGTACTGCTTATCTCGTGTTCCTAAATACAGACCATTACAGACATACAGATATTGCCTGTACTAACAAGTAAAGCATGTATTTTATATTGAAATTAAGTTTAGACATAAAGCTCTCTAAAAGACTTCAGCAAACGTACAGTTCCGGAAACACTTACCGTAACCTTCAGGTAGGTCAGGTGACTGATGACCATGTGGTCTATTCTGAGGTGTTTGTACATGACCTCTGACTTCAGGGTTTCGAAGTCGCTGTGCCTGAAGCCTCTGATCTTGACTAGGGGATTCCACAAACCTACAATTCCCTCCACCAGCAGCACCAGTAGTATCTGTATATGGTGCTGGTTCCTCCATGAAACAGCTGAGTGGCCTTCCAGGTCCAGAATCTTCATAAACCGTTCTGAAAGCAGGGACGCTCACAAAATTAACACAAAGGTTTGTATACAAAAATGGCTAATTTTTTTCCTCTCCATTATTTGATTTGAATGAACTGCAACTTCTATGACACATACTATACCTTACTTTAAATAATTATATATTTCATTCATTCAATGTGTGCACACATATTGAATTAAAATTTATATTTATGTTTATATATAGTGTGTACACTCTATACACACAAATTTCATTCAGTATATGTTTATGTGCTTGCACACACAAGTATGTATAAATATATAATTAAATTGTGTGATTAGCAATACACACAAATTTATAAAGAAATGGTCCAGAGATATTATATCTCAGGACCATTTCTTAGTTAATTTGGCTGCATTACTATTCACAAGAATTCCCGATTTTATTTTTCCAAAGCATAACACATAGCATGAACAAAAATACCATGAATGGAATTAAGTGAAACTAAATACTCAGCAGAATCAGATGTGACACTTACCCTTCGTTCTCCAACAGCCCTCTACAATCTACCACAGAACCTCCTGAGCCTATTCTGTCCCGTGTCTGTAAACTGACTGAAATAGAAAAAGAAATATTGAAGACAAATCCTGCCATTCCAAGAGTGCATCATTTTATCAATAGTTCACATCTGCACTAATCAATATTTTAATAAGTGTTCTTGATTAAGAAAGAGGTATCCTGATTTCCCAAATGCAAACTACTAGCATCACAGCTCCAAAAGCTAGGCTGAGTCTTCCCTATGAATAATCCAAGCTAGCATTTACTTTTGTTTATAATATGGATGATTTTTATTTATCAGCATTCACGAAGGCAGTGGTTTGAGCATTAGCCTGCTAAAGCCAGGGTTGTGAGTTCAATCCTTGAGGGGGCCATTTAGGGATCTGGGGCAAAAATTGGGGATTAGTCCTGCTTTGAGAGCAGGGGGTTGGACTAGATGACCTCCTGAGGTCCCTTCCAACCCTGATATTCTATGATTCTACATCTCTTCTGTGAGTACCGAGTCAAGGAAGCCTGGAACTAGAACTTTATTCACCACTAGATGTCACCACAATGGAGAATTACAATTTTTGCCAATTACATTGCCTCCAGTGAAGAGGAGTCGGGAAAAGAAAGGGGATTTGATTGTATTTTTAAGTTGAAGGCATAGTTCAAAATATTTAAAAAACAAAACAATAGAGTAAAATTTGGGCTAAATGCTCCGAACAGAGCAAGAAAAACAACAACAACTGATTAGACAAACTTTCTTCATTTTTAAGTACCCCAAGTTACAGATCAGCTTACACTAAGAGATGGTTAGGCAGGCACACTACCACAATGTCAAAACAACAATTCTCTATCAGGCGGTATTCTCAGGAAAGTGCCTTAAAAATGGTGTTCTGCAAAATGTTTATATCTCAATATCTTCCTTTAGGGTTGATAATACCAATGAATTCCTGTTATATATCACCTTGGCCTACATGTACAATTGGTTTTCCATATAGGAAGTTTACCCTAAGTAGCTGTAGAACCACCACCAAAATCGTCCATTCCCACTTATTCATACCATTTACGCTTACAATTACCAGTTGGAAGAAAGCAATTTAGATAATGATTAAACAAATTTCAAATGATCTAACCTAGTCCCTGTTCATTTTCAGTAACCAGGACATCTAATTAATATTAGTATAAGGAACACAAAGGGGATTGAAGCAATAAGTGACTTCAGGAAATGACATTTGAAAGATTTTTTTTTTTTTTTAAGGCAAGTTTTCCCTTTTAGTAACCATCTGAATCTTGTTTTAATCCGAGGAGTTGTAAGTGTGAACTATAACTGCTTCTTTTTATACAGACAGGAATGTTCTTACCCACTATTTGGCCTCGTACTGCATCAGTATCTGTGGGGTTTAATTTGCATAGATCCAAACGCTGGTCTGCAAACGAACAATTAAAAAAACTCAACCCAAGCAAATATTGAACTGAAGTTAATATTCACAACTCAAATATATACCACCAAGGACTTTTGCAAAATACATTTTTTAAAATGCATGTAAAAAAAATATACTAACATCCAGTATCTTTTAGTCTGCTGATGGCATTGGAAAGGAGACGGACACACCCCAGGAAGCCAGCTCCCTGTTTCTTGTGTATTTTCTTGTGATTCCATACACTGATGGTTATAGAATCTGTTTTCCCAACATATCTAGAAAAATATATATTTAGAAGAACAGATTAATTCAAGCTTGTTCTATTATTCTACAGTATTTTCACTTTGCTCCATCTCGATTTAATTCTGATATATTTTAGTCATGTCGCTTTATCATAAATACAGAAACACTTAATCTTGCTACGGCATTAATTAGAGTGCTGTAACTTTGCACAGCATGTTAATGTTACAGCTCTGGTTAATTACAGACAACCTCATTAAAAGTTATGAGACACATGAATTCATTACATGCCAAACTTATTTCTTATAGATTTATGTTTATTATTTTGAAAACATTTTAATCACTGCAACAAGGAGAATGGAAATAACTTTGATGCAGGAACCTAGCCAAGCTTAGAGTCAAAGCTTTCATGCTGTGTTTGAAACACCTTGATGCTTTAAAATCATGCCTAATTTTTTTTTTAAAGTGTCCATAAAGAAAAAGAAAACCCACCAGGAATATTTTAAGAACCACAAGTTATTATAAAGTCAAGCTTCCTCAGGAAGTGTGGCTCTTCTTGCTAACAGATGGGGGAAAAGGAGGCTTGCTTACACTTGTGTTTTACTTTCCAGATAGATTCCTGCAATGGTTTTACAGAATAAGTGACTCACAGATCATAATGCTGGTTCCACTTGGGGTCTAACGTGTTCTTCACAGTGTCAGTTGAATGGCACTGACCTGATCCGTCTACTACTATTTTTGCAAATGGATCAGGAAGTCCTATGGAGGGGGAAAAGGTACAATTAGAATCACAGCGTCAAATTAATAATGAGAGAGAGAGAGAGACATTTTTAATGCATTAGCAACTGAAAGAAAAAAAACAATCACAAGTTTCAGTTTCAGCAAGTTACCTTTTTGTAATTTTATATAGGGCCAATAAAGCATTGACCATAATTTGACCTTTGTACTTTTTTTTTCCTGTTCAGTTTTCCTTTTTATCCCAATTCTGCCATGAGTTTTTAACATTCTTGTAAGGAAAATTTACAGTTATCCTAAAATTCTTTTCTGAAAAAGAAAAGGAGTACTTGTGACACCTTAGAGACTAACAAATTTATTTGAGCATAAGCTTTTGTGAGCTACAGCTCACTTCATCGGATGTAAAAAAAGATTTTTTTATGACACAGATTTGCTTAACATAATTCTAACCAGTAGCAAATTTTGAAATTCTTTAGGGGAAAAAACATTAAATACTGCTTAAATTAAAACAGTATTTCATTTAAACAAATACCTTCATTAGTATCTATGCATTTCTATGCACTTCTTGGTATGATGTTTAGGCTCCAGCACTTGTATGGTATTTTATAAGCTCAGAGTGCTTTACAAACATTAAGTGTTACCACCTCTTTTGAGGTCAGTATCAAGCCTCTTTTACATAGACACAGAGGTAAGCAGAAAAGGAGTACTTGTGGCACCTTAGAGACTAACCAATTTATTTGAGCATAAACTTTCGTGAGCTACAGCTCACTTCATCGGATGCATACTGTGGAAACTGCAGAAGACATTATATACACACAGAGACCATGAAACAATACCTCCTCCCACCCCACTCTCCCGCTGGTAATAGCTTATCTAAAGTGATCACTCTCCTTACAATGTGTACGATAATCAAGTTGGGCCATTTCCAGCACAAATCCAGGTTCTCTCACCCTCTGCCCTCCCCCCCCCCCCCTTGATTATCATACACATTGTAAGGAGAGTGATCACTTTAGATAAGCTATTACCAGCAGGACAGTGGGGTGGGAGGAGGTATTGTTTCATGGTCTCTGTGTATATAATGTCTTCTGCAGTTTCCACAGTATGCATCCGATGAAGTGAGCTGTAGCTCACGAAAGCTTATGCTCAAATAAATTGGTTAGTCTCTAAGGTGCCACAAGTACTCCTTTTCTTTTTGCGAATACAGACTAACAGGGCTGTTACTCTGAAACAGAGGTAAGTGACATCAGTGGTAGAGTCAGGACTAGAATTATTGCCCCTCCGCCCGCTCCAGTCTTGTATCTAGGCTGCCTGTCTACATCATATGAACCTAAATAGTAATTCAATGCTACTGGCAAATGTGGAAGTTATCCCTGTTTCTCTGTGAGAGAGTTAGACATGCATAGGAGTTAGGACAATAATAATTTATAGTTTAAAAATACAAGTGTGAGAACAATACCATAAAGCTATTTATACAGTATCAGAAATCTGTCAGTTATACTTACTGAAGAAATCTTTTTTTGCAAGATTCTTGGCACATAATACTGAAAAACAAAAATAACAGATTAATGTATCTAAAATCCTTTTATAAAAATATCTTCAACACCCATATTGATTAGACACCAAAAATTCTCAATCTTGATCTTAACTTAAAACTGACCTAGTTAAATATGAACACTGCTTTCCTCTTGCCCTCAAAATCTGGAATCAGCGTAGTCTCTGCATGCACTCATGTACAGAGGCAGTTAAATTAATCCCCTATTGCCTTTACCCTCATACCTCAATGCTGACCTCATACCAAAAATAAATAAATAAAAGGAAACTTGGTCTTTATGAACTTTTGGCACGAATTGTTTAATATGACAAAGACCGAGTTCAGTATCTTTCAAAGTGTGCCAGTTTTGCTGAACTTCCCAATGCAGAAAGTGCTCTCTGTATTTTATATTTACATACCCAAAAGTGACTTCTCTTGCCTCATGGCCACCCATTCAGATTGTTGGTCATAGCTTTTCGAGCAGCTGTTACTGTACTGTACCAGTAACAGTTTTGTAGAATTTTTGAACCTACCCTCCTACTGAACCCTAGCTTTCTCCACCTCAATCTGCCAGCAAATTCAATTCTTGTATTCAAAGGTATTTTTACATATAATAAAATAAGATAAAAGAGGAAGGGAAAAAAGCAAAAGCGCTCAAGGAATCTTCAATACAATATCTTTTTGCCCTAGATATAAGGCAAGACCCCATCCAAGGGAACACAGCCAAAAAAGCATCCAATTATCCATGACCTTCTTGAAGGTCCACAAATCAGACATTATTTGCCTCTTCCCAATTCTACAGAAAAGAATAGCAGAGAAAGCAGAAGTGAAGTGACGTAAGGGAAGGAAAGACTTTGGTCTATTTCCACTTCTATAAGGTCCTCTTCTGTTCAAGACTCCAATCTTAATTCTACTGTTCAATAAGAGCTTTTCAGTATCCAGTCTCAGTTCAAAGGAGTTGTCCAATATTCATTAAACTTCTATATCAGGCTAGGAAGCATAACCACTGACTGTCAAATATTAACTTTAATATCTTCAAAATATTTAAGTGTTACTTAAGTGAGTGTGTGAGAGAAAGGCGGCTAGCTGTAAACCAGTGTTCAATTCATGTATCACTAACCACTTGTTGAGAAGGTCTCCTCTCTGTCAGGATGAGACTTCTGGACACAAATAGCAGGATGCTTGTATAATGCTTATGCCATCACTCTACCTATCAACAGCTCTCCTCATTCTTCCCCATCCTACAGCTAACGGGTTCCCATCCTACACAAAAATCAGCCTTAGGAATGTGGGGTCAGACACAGGCATCTTCACCTTGGCTAAGCTAGACTTAGGAGGTAATTGTAACAAGAGTGTGGGAAAAACGATCTTGGCACACCTCTGCTGAGACCCTTTCAGCTTCCTAGGAGCAATGCCACCAGCATCTGCCTTCAACTAGGAAGTGGAGTAAGAGGCTGTCAAAGAGCAAATATGACTGAAAACAACACTGCATTAAATTCATAAAATGTACAACCAAATGAAACTGTTCAGACTAGCTTGCTATTCAACTTGAATTAGCTGCAAAAATAAACCATTAGCTTTTACATCCTTTGTAGCAACAGGTAAAGATTTTTTTTTAATACAATTATCATAAGTGTCTTTTTAAATTGAGCACTAGATCACAGGATCTTCTTCCATAACCATTTCCCTCCCCCTCCCCCCTGAACAAAAAATGAAATATCTGCAGGTCTGTGAAGCATTGTACTCATAAGAACACTGATGACACAATTTGAAATAAAATAGCATTACAGAATCAGAGTCAGTTACTACGTGAGCACTTAGAGCAAAATTTAATTTTCTTCTACTGCTGGGGTTGATTTGAGAAAAAAGGAAGAAATAAACAGAAAAAAGTGAATATAGGAAAAATTAGAGTCAGAAATGTTAAACTGTTAGTTGAAATTTCTAATTAACAAAATCCCTTTAAAGTATGGAGTTGTTCAGCCTCTCACCCCACTTCTCACCATCAATATGAAAGCTTATTGGAGAAGTAAGGGAAAATTTCCCAATATACAAGTTAAATCCTATACTCAATCTCATTGTTAAATATTTTCAGACTGACCCAAGTTTTGTGGGGGTTTCTTGCAGATTCCTTCTGCAGAGCTCCTGAATAAAAGCCACTGCAGCTCCTGACTACTGAAAAATTAGATTCTCTGTTTAATGTTTTTTCTTCGCCACAAGCTTTTGGTCTACTGTAGTAGAGTGTTACTGCCAATTTTAGTACTGCAGTCTGTAAAACCCTCAATTTTAGTTAAAGCTATTATTCACTCTAGTAACACAAAATTCCTGCCACAAAACAGTCAATACTCCAAAAACACCTTTATGAAGCAGTCTCAGTAGCCAGCATCCCTAAACTGTGCCCCTGGCTTCATTCCACTATTTGTGCACTAAACTCACTGAAGCAAAAATGCTTTTAACTGCCCTATCAATGGGTTCACTTACAAAACTCAGATTTTTAAATCCAAGTAAACAAAGAGGTGACAAAGGCACTTGATAGGGGACTGCAACAGGAAGTGGAGCTGGTGATTGAGGAGATGGCTTTCCTCCTCCAGGCTGTGTTTATGCCAGACTTTTTCTTAAAGTGCACTACCGCCAGTGAAACTCTTCTGGCAGGGTGCACTATGGTAGTCTAGCCATGGGCATTGTACTGCCAGAGCGCTATATACCACTTGTAAACATAAAAACCTCACTGCATTTGCTGCAAAAATATTGGGGGTGTTAACCCTGGCATGCTGGTCATTTACATTATGCCTTCCAAATAGCTTCCCGTCACCTTGTTTCAACAGGATATAGTTTTCTTCACATTCTGTCCTGAACTGTTGCGTAGAATTGAGAAGCATTTTTAAATGACTGCTGCTTTCCATCCCAAAGGTAGCCTTTACATCCAGATTGTAATATTTTTTTAAGGGTTTGTGGAACTACCTGCCAATTCTAGTAGCAGATTCAAAGACCACATGAGCCAGATTTGTAAAGCACTACTGTGGAACCATATTTGGCAGCAAGTACGGAAAATGTCTTTTCCTCAGCGTCAGTGCTCATTCTGGGTATGACTTTACTGCAGAGTTAACTCAAGTTATCTGTTCAAGTTACTCCTCTTTAACTGGTGAGCTCAAGTGGGAGTGGCCCCAATGAGAAATAATACTTGAGCTTCTGCGTCCACACTGTTGTTATACTTAGGGCTTCTATTCTTTGGGGCTTATTTCTTGCAATTTGAGTTTTACGTAGATGCCAAAAAATAGAGGAGTTAGGCCTCTCTCTTTTGTATATACTGTAATGAGTAATCTCACTGTAATGTTCCTTCGTGTGCTTTTAATGTAGTGCTGTTTCAAACAGCGTTATGTTAAAGCACACTATGGAACTTTTAGTGTGCACCAGAAGGGTTTACATAAGCCAAATAGTGTGCAATACGTTAGCATACCGGTGGTGTTTTAAGCAGAGGTACTTTGAACTCTTTGCCACTGCATTGTAGGAGAACTTGTCCATCCTTTCTGGGCACATGGAAGGAATTGTGGGAAGATACTGCAGGACTAGAAGCACACCAGAGGCACTAACCTGTACCCAGACTACAGAGTGGTTGTGTTAGAAGTTGACAAGTTGTGTTCACTTGAGTTTTAGCCAATACCCCTTCTCAGGCCAGTCAACTTGAGTTAAAAGGAGCACTGCACTCAAGTCAGGGCTTTTTGGGTGTGGATGGGATTCTAATTAGGAGCAACACTTGAACTACTTGAGTTAACTTTGCAGTGAAGACAAGTCCTCTGAGAATGGTCACCTCTTCCTGTGCAGAAAGAAGGGAGGTCTTATTGAAAGATGTCTGCAGAGCTAGGTTTTGGTCATCTTTGTGCTTTTATCAGGTATTATAATTAATTATCTTTGTTTGTATAAATGTACTTTCAATTACTGCATTCCAAGAGGTGTTTAACCCTCTGCATTCTCAGTCAGAGGCATTAATCCAGATTGGTGGACATAAGGGTGCAGAAAAGATTTTGACTTGGAAAATACTGACACATCTGACACCAGTCTTGACTTTCCCTCCCTAATCATAGGTCAAGTTAGTTAGCACAGAGTAGGAACTTTAACAGGTCATTTCTATTTAAGCTCTAAAATCTTTAATGCTGTTAAGTTTTTTAATTCTTATTTATAAATGACTACTTGGAAAGTTTCCTTATGGGAAGAGAGGAGTAAAAGTGAAAAACGGGAAGTCCTAGATGCAAAATAACTGACACATTGTAATGAATATTACTGTATACCACACAAGGACATCGGGCTGCAATTTAGTTTATGTTTAGATGTGGTCTACATTACAAACTTATGGTATAACTACGTTGTTTAGCGGGCGTGGAAAATCTACTACCCTGAGTGACACAGTTATACCAACTGAAATTCGGATGTAGACAGCACTATGTTGATGGGAGGGCTTTTCCCATCAACATAGCTACCACCTCTCGGTGAAGTGGAATACCTACACAGATTGGAGAAACTCTCCCACTGGCGTAGGTAGCGCCTTCACTACGTGCTACAGCAGCATGGCTGCAGAGTTCCATGTGTAGAAAGCCCCCAGTGTGTCTGAGGTCAGGTGTATACTATAAGTTTTTGTTGGCACAGCTATGTTGGTGAGGGTGAGACAAGCTATGACCAACGTAACTGCATCAGCAAAAGCCCCTCGTGTATACAGTTATACTGGCAAAACTGTGCTTTTGCCAGTACATGCTGCATCCACACTAGGAGCACTTCGCCAGTATAGTTATATCAGCAAAATGCTCCCAATGTAGAGACACACAGAAATAATTTTTTTTACACAATTCAGTCAACTTTGCACTTCAGGGTCTGAAAGATTTCAGAGGGTGGTGTGTATTTAACTTTTCAGAAATCACATACTTGGATCTCTGATATTTAAAACCCAGAGACCAGAGGCAAACTGAAAACCTGTACAGATGTCCATGTAATAACTAATCTGAATATTTTGCAAACATCACA